GTCTTCTGCTTGTCACAGGTGCTGAAGCAAGCTTTCCACATTCTTCTCCTAGTCAAGGCCTGGCTCAGGAAACGGTGCCCCCACATTTGGGGTGGATCTTCCCATCGTAATTATCAATCAACATAATCCTTCGAGGGCATGCATTTCTCATTGAGACTTTTTCAGGTGATTCCGGGTTATGCTAAACTGCCATTTAAAATTAAACAGCTCAATTAATTTACAACTATAATTGTATGCAACAGTGGCACTGAATCGAAGAAGCGTAAGTTTGATGGGAGTAGCAGATCCAAAAAAATTACATGGTTTACACAAGTAGAAACCCTGGTAGAAAACCAGCTGCAAACAGGGAGGATATGTTCAGCTTGGGACTGTGCCTGGGTATGACTAGAAAGGAACAAATAAGGATTTTGTATAATTGGTATTTATTTATTTATTTATTTATTTATATTTTTGTTCATTCTTTGGTCATATTTACACATACCCCACACCTCTCCCTGAATCCTCTTGGATCCACTATCCATCTTCAAACTTCTTTCAAAATTTTGTTTTTAAAGTATATATTTAAACTTTATTATAGTTCAGTGAGCCCAGTTTGTGTTACCCATGTTGATATGACTAGTCTGGGAGCTAGGTGAGCCAGTGTATTGGTTTAATGTTCACCAGTGATTCACTTCGGGCAAGTGTGTTTTCTGCACATGTGGTACATGGTTGGTATCTAAAAAAATATTCTCGGTAGTAGACTGAGCTACAGAGACAAAATAATATAGAAATCTACTTTCTTTTCTTGTCATTTAATAAATAGCTCATAAAATTGTCTGAGACTACTATGTTCTTTGGGGAAAAAAGAGTCTGTACTGTTTTTCTTATAGGGTTGGTTAGAAAATCCAACAGATGTAAGATGACATATGGTCTATTAAAACATTGATATGTGATAACAACAAATCATTAGGTACATACCTGAACTTATATACTCACAGCACTGACCGATGATTTAAAGTATATGGGAATCCTAAATTCAATAAGCAAACATTTTTTATATAACATACAGTTTATATCAAGGGTAAAGTACAACTCTGGCCCTTTAGGAAATAAACATAGAATTTCTACCTTTTTAAGATTAAACAAACAAACAAACAAAAAAAACCTTTAAACCGAACACTGAAATCACAAGAAGTCTCAAGTTCAAAGACTGAAATCTTTTCCACAATCTTAAGTGAAAGCTGTTCTAAGCCAAAACATTTTTACATTTTATAGTGGACAATGCAACTTTTGTAATAAGCCAATAAAATCATAGGACATCTATATAGTATTCAGTCTCAATACATATGTAATTTTATTGTTATTGTCTTTGAAAATTCTAACTTAGAGATGATCAAGTAGTTATAGAATGAAATATTCATGATTTCATTTGACCAAAAAAGAAAAAAAAAAGCAGAAAAGAGCCCATAGTATGAGGCAGGAACTTTTCCTTGGCTGGAGATGGAACAGTGAATGAAACAATGAAATCTGCAGGCTGAGTCTGATGGGAAAAGTCCAGGTTCGGCTACAATGGTATTACAGACATGAGAGGGAGGGCAGAACTTTGTTATGGAAAGCTTAATCTACATGTATTGATAATTGACTGGTAGAGAGCAGTTTTGGAGACATTATGTACCTGGGAGGTGTATGGGTGATGAGGCCCCATCAGCTAATTGCTCCTGGGTTCCACCATCATTAATACTTTCACTGGATGGAATGAGTATTTGCAACCCTAGCTATGGATGCTTAATTGTTTGTATTGTGACTAGGTGGACTTATCTTTGTACTTCTCTTCACTCTAATGTACCATCTTTAGCACTGACAGTCTATGACTTGTAATTATCCTCAGTGTCCCATCTCCCTTCTGCTACAATAATAATTGCAAGTTTGAGACAGCCAAATTGCTACCAGTTAGAACCCAATACTTCCCCATCCTGCTTCCAACTAGCTGCGGCTTTAAGACTCAACTTTAGCCATGGACTTAAGCAGAAGTGATAGGAGCTGCTTCTGGGACATACATCATGAAACTTCTTGTTCTTCTCCGCTGGCTGTGTTGTTTTTGCTGGTTACTGAAATTTTTTCCAACATGTCTAATATATATATATATATACATATATATATGTATATATATATATATTAAAGGTTGTATTCTTTTGGAATTATATGGTTTTCTTAGCCTATTTTCTGATGGGCCTATAATCAGGGCCTACAAATAACATCATCACAGCCTTGGATCCATATTCTAACTTGCAGTTGAGTATATGTTTGAGACAGGGTCTCCATATGTACTGTAGACTTCCTTTTAACTTCATTTGTAGCCTAGGCTGTCCTCAAGGGTTGATCCTCCTTCCTTTGCCTCCTGAGAATGAGGTTATAGTGTGCTTACTATGCCTGACCTAACTTGATTTTTTTTCCTTTTAGAATTTTGTACTAGGATCCAGCACACAGATGATACATTACATGGTTTTCCTTCATTTCTTCAGAATAGTGATTAGATAAAATTTCGTATGCCAATAGCAATTTGGCACTGTATGTGTGTGTGTGTTTTTAATTATTTTTTATTAGTTCAAATTAGAAACAAGCCTACTTTACCTGTCAATCCCTTCTTCCTCTCCCTCCCCTCCTTCCCCACCCTATCCACCCTCTGCTCCCCATGGAGGGTGAGGCCCTCCATGGGAATCCCAAGAGTATGTTATATCATCCTGGGCAGGGCCTAGGCCCTTCCCCATGTGCCTAGGCTGAGAGAGCATCCCTCCACATGGAATGGACTTCCAAAGTCCTTTCTTATGCCAGGGATAAATACTGATCTACTACCAGAGGCCCCATAGAGTGTGAGGTCTCCTCATTGACATCTATGTTCGGGGGTCTGGATCAGTCCTGTGCTGGCCTCCCAGACATCAGCCTGGGTCCATGCACTCCCCGCTTGTTCAGGTCAGCTGATTCTGTAGGTTTCACCAGCCCGGTCTTGACCTCTTTGGTCTTCACTCCTCCCTCTCTGCAACTGAGTTCCAGAATTCAGTTCAGTGTTTAGTTGTGGGTGTCTGCCTCTGCTTCCATCAGCCACTGGATGAAGGCTCTCAGCAGAGGTCAGGGTGGAGGGGGAACCCCTAACTTGCTTTTTTATAAGGAGTGTAAGTGTATAAATGGTCCACTTTTAGCTACATAAGCAAATAATACTGGCTAAGTAGTTTTTGGTCATCGGCTCCATCATCATACTCTAAGAAGGAAAGTAAACTACAGATATTCAAATCTTGTATGTTCTTTCAACCTTTAATGGGAAACATTCTATCAATATGAATTTGGATATTATTGTTTGATTGAAGGTGTTTGAGATTGCTTATTTTTATTGGGACCAAAACAGAAGTTCAAGCAACCAAAAATAAAACAAACCAAAAAAACAACCCCCCCAACATATACTGCTTAAGACCACTTGTCATTGGGATTTTAAGAAACTATAATCACAAATAATAAATGTTTACAGACATCATCACTTCATAAATAATTTCCATAATTCTTAGGGCATATTCTGTGTGTTTTTCTTGGAAGAAAATTGAAATACTACTTATTGAACTACAGTGTTGCAGCAGGAATGCAAGGTGAGTGAAACACCTGAGAAGTGGTTTTGGGTTGGCTTTTGGAACATGTGGCTGAAATTAAAAGATGAAGTTGGCATATATGTCTGAATGGAAGTAGACCTTCAGAGGGAGAGATGTATATACCTTAGCTTTATAATGTGACAAAATCTACATCACAGAACTCAAAAGAGGTGAAATAAAAGTATTGAATATAGAAACAACCTTTCCTGTTTCCTGTAACTCTGCAGTTTTTTTCAGACTGTTTCAAAGAATTTTAACTACTGTAAATCAACCAACAAACACACACAAAATAAAAATATGATTCTGTTTAACAACATAGGAATCCAAGCTGCAAATCTACAGGTAATCTACTTTATTTGTGTCTTCTAAGTATGTGTTTAGAAAAAGGCAGTATTAAGCTTGCAATAAATAAGTAAAAAAATTATGGGACAATGGAGAACACTATTAAGGTAATATATTGAATAATAAGGTCCTTTCAAGTTATAAATTGTACAAATTTGAAAATACTAAATTACACACATTCTTAAGCAGTGCTTACTCAAGAGACAAACTTGGTTTAGCATACCAAATTATAGGCTATTTAATAAGAAGGATTAAAAGCAGTGTTATGCATACAGCTAGCTCTCTCTTCAAACACAATGAGATATTTTATTCTGTAGACAAATATGAGCACAGCTGAACCATTTGTGTGCCTTTAAATATTTTCCCCCATTCGTGTTAGGAATATTTTATTTTTATAACCCAAGTAATAAAAATGAAATAGGGCTTGTATTGGTAGGGACACTTGAAATACAGCTAATATTATTTAAAAAATGTATTTAAATGGCCTATCAGGAACCAGTTTTCACATAAGTAGCTTTTGAACACTACAACAGACTAATACCCCTTTGTCAGATGTTGTTGAATTCTAAGACATTCTAAAATGTTCCAGATGAAACAAGTTACTTTAGATTATTGATGAGTTTGTGTGTTCCAGCTATACACTGCTTCGTGTTAAAATTTCGAAAGCCTATGACTTCTAAGAATTCTCACTCTAGAAGGCCCTTTGCTGACTGGAACCAAGTTAAGTTGCAAGAAGGAAAAGGATTTTTTCCCCCTTCTAGTTAAAAAGCTTAAGTATAATTTGGGCTTAGTGGTGAAAGCACAAGTTCTCATGAAAATGCTTGTAAACTAGCCCTGGACATTACCTGTCCTCAAAGCTATCTAACCATCTGGTCTACCTCTCTGCATATTGGTGGGCACGCTTGGCTTACTGATAGCCATTGCCAGTTCTGGCAAACAGAACCCAGTACCTGGGCTGGGAATCCATCCCGGGGCCTGCCAGGCTCTACAACCTCGTGTCCCCCGACTTGGAGCAAGTGTGTTCAATTGAGGAAGATCACTTACGACTGAGTTTTTCATCATGGCTTTGACTGTGAAGCCCTCAGAAACCAGGGAATGAGGCTGGTGCACCGGGAGCGGCTGTTGTGGCAGCAGTTTGGTCCTCTTCGGCATCTTGTCTGGGCATTTATTTAAGGTCAGGGTCTCTTTTTCTGCCACCATCTTCCCAGGATACGTTTTTGTTCTTATCAAAAGTGTGGTAGACAAACCAGTGGGCTTTACAGATGTGAGCAGGAGGTCAGGGAAAAATGTAAAAAAAGCGAGTTACAGGTTTAAATCCAACCCCTCGTGGTGCCCAGAGCGATCCAGATGTTTGGCAGCTCCAAGGTGAAGGGAGTTTAGGGGAGGGGAGGGGCGGGAAGAGGACTGGGACCCGAGGCTTGAGCCGCTACAAGCTTCCAAAGGTGAGCCTCCTGGTTGCTAAGCGACTCGGCAACACTACTACCCGATAGTCCCGCCCCTTCGTGACGCACATTTCCTGGGTTTGAATCCGGAAAGGGCGAACGGCAGAAGCCCGCAGCCGCCTTAGGAGCTCAGGAGCGGCTGTGGGGGCGGGGAGACTCTTACGCGTTAAAACTACGACTCCCAGCAGGCACCGCGCGGGGGGCAGGCACGCACGCGCACTGAGCCTGCCGGGCGCGCGGGGTGGTGAGCCGGGGATGACTGACTAAACCTGGGAGAAACGCTGGTGGGAGGCTCGGGCGGGTGCCGGTGCCCGCGTAGGCCGTGCTCGCCCCGCAGCCACCACCCACCCGGTGACCATGATAGGTACGTGGGTGCCTGCCAGGTACAACCTCTCTGCGCCGCCCCGCGCCCGTGTGTGGCGCCACGTTGTCACACCCCGCGGGTCCCAGTGGGCTCCTCGGGGGCTCGCCCGAGCCACCTGTCAGTGTGAGGGCGAAGGCGTGTGCTCCTCACTCCGTGGGCCCCGGGGGCCTACCAGGGGCCAGGCCGGGCCGGGCCGGGTCGGGTGTGTCTTATAGCATACGTTGTGTGAGCGTCCAGTCCCCACCTCGCCCTTGCCAAGGTTAGCCCGGTGCTCCCTGAAGATGGCATCCCTGCCGACACCCGGGTGCACCACAGCGCCCCCCGGCGGCCGGGCTCGTCCTGCCCGACCGGCAGCAGCCTGGCGCTCTGCCACCCCTGGGTGATAACCATCCCAGCTCTGATTTCTGTTTCCCTTCTGGTCCCTGTCCTTCACTTTAGGACAGGTTTAGACACTGCAGGACTTGAAAAAGCCCCCGGGAAGCACTGGACTGGTGGAGATAATGGGTTTGCAAGAGATTGCACTTTGCTCCTTGAGTTCTGCCTTACTAAATGTCTCCTCGCAGATCTGAGGCGAAAAGAATAGCCGAGAGTAGATAATAGTACAGATGGAGTCTTTCCACCGAGTGCAGCTGCATGAGTGTGGCTTTGGAAGCGGCCGCTAGGGTTGTTATAAGCACCGTGAAGTAGAAGGTCCTTCTCGAAGATGTCAAACTCCCAGTCACTTGGGGTGTTCCCCCAGAATGAGTTGAAATGCACAGCCGTGTTGGGCGATCATTCCTGTTTGAAGGTTTCCTTTCTGTAGACTCCTGCAATTGGTGTCTTAGTGAGCTTGTTTGTGATAGACGCTCCAGAAGTATCACCCTGAGCACATTTGAAGGGGATCTATCCCAGATGCGCCTAGAAGACAGGTGACAGGTGGCTTTATGAAATTAATGCTTTACGTGATGCAAGCCCCTAAGTTTGCTTTTACTTATGAAAGTAAGGTTAAAGTGTGCAGTCTACCCCTCACTGGGGGAATCATGCCAGGTCACCAACATCCTCATTGAGGCAGAGGTACAAGCTGAAGATGCCCAGCTCTCAACTTTGGTAGGGTAGTGCGTATTTCTGGTGAATGAATTGGAAACTTGTGTGTAGAGAAGCTACGTTTTTATGAATCTTACTGAGCCTGTTAAGTGACGTTTACTTAAAATCTGATTGTAAACACAAACCTGAACCGAGTCCGTGAACCAAGTGGGAGAGATTAGGAAAAAAAAAATTATGGGAGATTTTACAAGAAAGAAATAGCTCATATTTTGAAGACAATTGCACACATGTAGTTTCTTCCAACTTAGTTTACGGATGATTTTGAGAAGCAAATGTCCCATAAAGCTATATAAAGACAGAAAGTTAAGAACTAGAAATAATTATTTTTGTAAAGAATCTAATAAATTATTATTATAGTAGTAACTTTTAAAATGGAACACATTTAGACAGTTTTAGTAAGGTTTATCTGGAACTGTCTTAAGAAGTGTGATATCTGGGCGTCACAACTAAATCTATTACTGACAAAAAACAAGGGAAATTCAAGGTGAATTTTAAAGCTGTTCATTTTCTTTCTCTCACTACTGTTGTTGTAGGGTGAATAAGTGTATATTCCAACACAAGTAATTAAACCCCTGTCCCTCCACCCCAAGAAAAGGAACTTACTTATTAATTAAACTGCATAAAGAATGTTAAAATAAATGAATTATTTAGTTCAATTAGTTTTATTGCCTAGTTCCTTCCAGGAGTCATTTTTCGTTGTGACTAATCTTTGAGCCAGGAAACACAGACAGTCTTTATCCAGAGAAGTCTATTGCAGGTCAAAGGACACATAAATGCCTCTAGGAACTGAACAGTGTCTTATCCTGCTCAGCACGACACAGAGCTGATGCCTTTTATACTTATACTCTCCCACCTTGCTGTATATCCTCCTAGTGCAGGCAATAACCCACTCTTACACTGAAGTCCTTGCTTTCCTTTGAGAAAAACATGGATTGATTTCCTGGCCAAATATGAGAAAGGGGAACAAATACTTCATTACCCATAAAATAATTTCCCTTTTATTGTCTCAAAATAGAGGGTTCCCATTTTGTCATGGAGATGGCATTAAAAGTACTTACATTTCCCACTTGGATATTATGATTTTCATGTTAAATGCCTTGACCCAGACAGACTTAAAACATAATTTAATTGAAGTCGATGAAAAAGTCTGCCATTTCGAGGCATGGAGAAGGGATACACAATAATGAAATGCTTCAGAAAATTTAACTGACAAAAATGTAATTTTGAGCACTTCTTTTACATTTTTTAATCTTTAAAAATGAGCACTTCTTTGTGTTTAAAATTGAATTTTGGTGGTGACAATTGTGAATTGCTCTAAATGTCCTATACATTTAGGCATTTGATAATATCAGCTATTAAAGCACATGGGTTCTCATACAATTAAAGTAGGAAGTTCTTAAATTAAAACCCAGTTTTTGAAATAGAAATGTCACTCAGTGATATATCCTAGGGTTCATAAGACTGTGGGTTCCATTCAAAGGTGTTGCACTTTTAATTGATTAAAGTATTATTTTCTGTATCTTGTTAAAATCTTCTAGAGAATTTAACTGCATATAAAGATCACACTCATTCCTGACCAAAGTCAGATTTATAACATACATTAATTATGAAAGTATCCTCTCTTCTAAATGAGTGTACAGCAATAATACAGCCTTTCAGTGTGCATACTGCACAGGTGTCTTTTGGGGGCCCTGTCCTCTCTGACAGTGTAGAATACATTTTATTTATTATCACTTGCCAGAAAGTGTTTTTTATTGTCTTGTTTATAGATAAAGGGTAGACATTTTGCTTTGAAAATGAGTTTTAGGAAAATTAATTCATTTTATAATGATTTAGTTTTACAAAAGCAGATTCCAGCATTGAGCATGTATATGTGTCTGGTACTGTTAGTAGGTGCCAATGATACAAAAATGGAATAAACAGAAAAAAATGCTTTGTCATTGTAAATATTCTATCTATATTGACTAATGGCCAACATCTGGCTTTGTTTTAAAACTTGTATGCAGGGATTTCTAAGTCTTAGAATTCCTAGTTGTAGTTGGATACACTATGCATTGCTATTTGCCCTGTTGCTTTAATAACATTAGATGAAAGAAACTCTACATCTAAATACTGTTTGTTCTGAGGTGCCCTTGTGCCTCTGTGTTACAAAATGAGTTCTACAAAATTTTGTATAGAAGAGTTTATATGATTTTATTCAGTTCTCTTTTGGGTCCAAAGCCTCTGAAAAAACCTTATGTCCTTTACAAATGTTCCTTCTGTTTCTAAAGGTTTTTCTGAAGTCTGCATTTTTTTTTCTTTTTAATCCAAAGCTCTATGGCTTGAAAATGATACAGTGGAAGTACTTGGTACTAAGATATGCAAATCCATCCCTACCTCTAAAGCTTCTTTGAACCCTCACCCCACCCAGCCCCCGAAAAAGGAAAAAGAAAAAGAAAGAAAGGAAGATATTTCAAAATGCTTAATATTCATGAACCAGGTTCAATGCAAAATACTTTCTTCTGTTAGCTTTCAGTTCTTTGATCAATGAGAATTGTTTCTTACCTCCTGTTTCTCTAGCCTTTAATGGTAGCCCAGTGCTTATTCAATGTTTCTGTTTTAATTTGCATTTAATGAGCTCATTTTAAATGTTTCTTTGTAGTAATCTGAATTGTTTCCTTCTTACATTTATAATATTAAAGACTGAGACTTATATGACAGCTAGCTGATTTACATTACAGCCCCCATCATAGCTTATTGACTTCATCTTATAGAGGAGAACTGTGGTTAAAAGGAATGCACTTGACAGTACTATTTCCCCTAGGACTGTATTTCCTGATCACTTAGGATTCTATCAAACTGACCCAGTCTTTTCACTCCCCTCTCATTAAAAAGCATGTTTTTGTTTCTTGAATTAATAGATATTTCAATTGACAGTGATCATTCTAGTATCAATTCTTTGTAAGGACTATGTTAGTTGGTGCTGCACAGGAATATTCCGTGTGTGTGTGTGTGTGTGTGTGTGTGTGTGTGTGTGTTCTGTAGGGAAAAACACAGAAACAGGAAACCGTTTATCCCCATGAGTTGAGTTGTGATTTACTTGAGTTGATGGCATGTGCATGTGGTACAGATTTTACCCTGTCCATTATAGAAGCAGAGTGTGGTGTTTATATTCACCCTATCACATGAGAATTGTGTTTCACTGTGTACTCAATTTAGATAGAATCTCTATAATGATACAAGCAGAATAATAGGATGAAAGTCTAATATCAGACAGTACCCACTCTTGTTTATTTAGGAATTGATAAGCTGCCCAATGGGTAGACAAAAGAATTTCTTCTTTTGTTTTGATGCCTCCCCCACCATAATTTTCTAAATTTGTCTGTTTTTTTTTTTTTTAAATATGTTGTGGATGGTATCTGCCATATCTTACTACATGAAGACTTTTTGTCATACTTTCATTTTCATCATTTTGATTTCAGAGCAGTCACCAAACAAACCGATTGTCAGTTATGGATTGCTGAAGTTTTACAAAGTATCCATATGCTGGCCTTTATATGCCTATGTTTTATGGTCATTGTCTTAGTGAAGGTTACTATTGCTGTGATAAAACACCATAACCAAAGCAACTTCGAGAGGAAAGGGCTTATTTGGTTTACACTTCCACAGCACTATTTATCCCTGAAGCACATCAGGGCAAGAACCTGGAGGCAAGAGCTTATTCAAAGGCCGTGGAGGGGTGCTGCTAACTGGCTTGCTCTCCATGGTTTGCTCAGCCTGCTTTCTTATAGAACCCAGGATCTCCAGCCCAGGATGGCACCACCTGCAATGGGCTGGGCTCTTCCCTATTGATCTCTAATTAGGAAAATGCCCTACAGGCTTGTCTACAGCCTGATCTTACTGAGGCATTTTCTCTATTGAGGTTCCCTCCTCTCAGA